TTTCACCATGTTGACCAGGATGGTCTCGATCTCTTGACCTTGTGATCCACCTGCCTCGGCCTCCCACAGTGCTGGGATTACAGGCTTGAGCCACCGCGCCCGGCCTTTATTATTATTATTTTTAAAACACAGGATGAAACAGGTTCAGAGAGAGGAAGTGATTGGTCTTAAGTCAGGATCTAAGCAAGTGGTCAAGCCATGCTTGGTGACTTTCAAGTGCATTCTTCATCCTCTTGTTTAGTAGAGTCTTGTGGAAGATGGTGTGGGAAACAGTGAGTCTCAATGACAGAAAAGAACGCAACGTTAATTCATGGGTAATGGTTCTGACTAGACTTTGGTGCCATGGTTAACTGTTTTAAGAGACTTTGCCTTTACAGTAATAATATGCACTTTGTTTTAAAAAAAAAATAGATAGCTGCAAGCCAAGATTTTACAATGACCCATGTAGAGATACTAACATGTTTGGACATTTACAGGCTTTTCTTCCCCTTTTTATTTTCAAACTCACAGAAAAATGGAAAGACTAGTCCAATGATCACCAGGAATCCTACCAACTAGATCCAGTAATTTCACAATGCTTTTGAAATATATAAAGTGAGCACAAAATCTGTAATTAGCCCACTCATGGTGTAACAAAGCCCTTATTTTGCTGCTCCATCAGGGGCCGATGGGAATGGAGTTAGGACACAGAGGGGCCTCACTGTGGGACTGGGAAACTAGTTTTGCTAGAATCATTAGAATCATGTGATAACAAATGCAGGCTTGTGAGGGAAAAGCGAGCTAACGTCAGTGCCATGGGTTCAAAGGTTTTGTTTTGTTCAAACATGGCCAAGGTCCATGTTTTCATTTCAGGTAAATATAGATAGGAGGGATTTTTGAATACACTTGAGAAAGAAGAACTTACCTTCCTACACTTAAAAGGAATTAAATGATTCCAATCTTGTGGGAAGTGGTGGGGATGGGGGAGTCACATGCGGGAGAGGAGCTGTTCTAAAGACTTAAGTTAGCTTTGCTGGACAAGGTGGCTCATGCCTGTAATCTCAGCACTTTGGGAGGCTGAGGCGGGCAGATCATGAGGGGTCAGGAATTGGAGACCAGCCTTGCCAACATGGTGAAAATCCATCTCTACTAAAGATACAAAAAATTAGCCAGGTGTGGTGGTGGGTGCCTGTAATCCCAGCTACTTGCAAGACTAAGGCAGGAGAATGGCTTGAACTTGGGAGGTGGAGGTTGCAGTGAGCCGAAATCATGCCAATGCACTCCAGCCTAGGTGACAGGGCAGGACTCTCAAAAAAAAAAGACTTATCTTCCCCACAAGACCACTTCCTTTGACCCCTCCTAGGGCCCTTCTTACATCTCTCTTGCCAGAGGCTGCTGAACCTTTTTGGCCTCTCACACCTGGGGGAAGAACAGAGAGTGAGGACAGGCCCTTCTAGAGCCTGGGGGCCCCAGTGACTGTTTTCAGCTGGGCACTGTCTCTGCTCTAGTTCTTGTTCATCTCCCCAAGCATGAAAAGAGCTCAGCTGGTACTTCACACCATCTGTTATGTTAAGCCCTTGGATAAGATTTTTGGGCCCTTGCAAAGACCAATTATATAAGTCTGTTAATAAATAATGTTCGGCCAGCACAGTGCCTCATGCCTGTAATCCCAGCACTTTGGGAGACCAAGGCAAGCAGATCACTTGAGGCCAGGAGTTCGAGACCAGCCTGGCCAACATGGTGAAACCCCATCTCTACTAAAAATACAAAAAAGTAGCCAGGTGTGGTGGTGCATGCCTATAATCCCAGCTACTCTCGGAAGGCCAAGAATTGCTTGCAGCCGGGAGGAGGAGGTTGCAGTGAGCTGAGATTGTACCACTGTACTCCAGACTGAGTAACAGTATGAGACTCCATCTCAAAAATAAGTAAATAAATAAATAAAGTTCAATGTTTGCCAAGTCCTGTTATCCTGATTATCAGACATTCTTGTCTCTCCTTAGGGGGTGGCATAGTTCCTTGCTCCTGCCACCCCGTTTCTAGCCTTATACCCCAGCTGTAAGCTTTACTTATACATGGCCATGTGCACTGTGGATTCCTAAAACTTCCAGTCCCCCACCCCTCAATGTGGCGTTGACAGAATTCCTTCCACAGATGGCCTCACAATGGAGCGTTTTATCTTGCTTTTTTTTTCCACCTCACCCAGAAGGTGAGCATCAGGACTCTGTTAGACTTTTTTTTGTAGAGATGGAGGGTCTTGCTATATTGCCCAGGCTGGCGTCAAGCAATCTTCCCACCTTGGCCTCTCAAAGTATTGGGAATATGGCATGAGCCACTGTGCCCAACTCCACTCTTTTAGACTCCCTAAAGGCAAAACAGTGATCCCCAAAGGTCTTATGGGGAGGCACAGGCAATGTTATATCCCCAAGGATTCATCTGTGTACTCCTTTCCCTCTGGGAAATCTCGCTAAAATTCTAGATTCCATTTCCTTCTGGTGCAGCTAACAACAAAGCAGAAACCAAGACTCTGCTTTCAGTGGACACTTGGTGTTTGCATGCAAAACCACCTCCTCCATCCCAGAAAACCAGATTGGTCTGGCCAGGAGAAGAAGGAGAAGAGGTTCGGGACTAACCTGGCCTTCAAGGAAAGTGGTGGGGGACTAGAGATCTTGATGGAAGTGGGCAGTGACAGACATAAGGAACCAGGTACCAGGGACCAGAGCAAACTCTCCTCAAGCTGGCCACCGGCAAATAGCCCCAGACAGTTGTGGGCTCTCTGAGTGGAACGTGAGCGACGTGGACACCTGGTAGGGAATTGGATGAAATTAGAAGAGGGAAACAGGTCCCCAACCCAGGTGGAGGTGAGTAGCTTGAAAGAAGACAGCCTCTGGGGCAAAGGAGTGGAGCGCCAGAAGATCAGTGATGGCCATGAGGCAGTCAAGAGCCATGCCCCATGAGGCATCTCAAGAGCCCCCGAGAGATGAGGAAGGAGCAGTGAGCATGCCATCTGTCACCCAGTGCCAACTTACATCCAAGCTGGCCACATCCTTCTCTGTCCTTCTCCCCTGTCCTTGATCCCTGGAGGATCTGAAATGGCCACCAGTAAGAGGGGAGGAGGAAGGAAGAGGAGAGACTATAAAAGTGGTTGAGAAGATGGCAAGCGGAGAAGCAGCGTTAGATGAGGCAGAAGCAATCCTGCAATAGCCAGATTGACGGAGGATCTCAGCTGTCCAAGTGTAAACATGAAATGGTCTTAGTTTTCTAATAACTGCTACTGACTGCTTTCCTGCGAGTAGTAAGGTCCCTTAGAGACCTCTCAGTTCAAAACCCAGTTTGTAATTATTTGATAGGAACAGATTTCCTAAAGTAGGAATAAACAAAGGGCCTCCTCACTCACTCTCTAAGAGTTGCAATGGAACCAGCCTGAAATTCTATCCAAGGGAAACAATGAATCCAGTTTGAGTTCAAAGCGACACCTTACTGTGATTACTTTGTTCAACAAACTGGTTACAATTAATTACTAGATGAGTAAGAAAAATTTTCCATTTATTTATACATCTTTCCGCATTACTTATTGGTCCATTACATTCATCCATTTTTTTTAAGGATTTCATAACTGTCATCAATTTGCCTGAACATTTTATATATTAAGGATATTGATTTATTATGTCAGTGGCAATCCTTTTTCTTGGCTTGTCCAATTAAAAGGACAACCAACTGACTGGTTGTCTTTTTAACTGACAAAGTTTATATTTATTTATGTATTTTTGAGATAGTTTCACTCTGCCACCCAGGCTGGAGTGCAATGGTGTGATCTCGGCTCACTGCAACCATTGCTTCCTGGGTTCCAGTGATTTATGAACACACGTGTGATTTTTTTCTTTTCTTTTTTCTTTTTTTGAGACAGAGTTTCTCTTTGTCACCCAGGCTGGAGTGCAGTGGCACGATCTCGGCTCACTGCAACCTCCACCTCCTGGTTCAAGCGATTCTGCTGTCTCAGCCTCCCAAGTAGCTGGGATTACAGGCACACGCCATGTCTGGCTAATTTTTGTATTTTTTGTAGAGATGGGTTTCACCATGTTGGCCAGGCTGGTGTCAAACTTCTGTCTCTGCCTGCTTTGGCCTCCCAAAGCGCTGGGATTATAGGTGTGAGCCCTTGTACCTGGCCGATTTTTTTCTTTTCAAGTTAGGAAGTTCTTTCCCATCCTACCATCAGGTCATCACCAAAATGTTAACAATGAGATTGTGGATGAATTTTTTTGTTATAATTTCTGTACTTTACTTTTTTCTTTCTTTCTTTTGAGACAGGATCTCACTCTGTCACCCAGGCTGGAGTGCAGTGGCACAATCATGGCTTACTGCAGCTTTGGCCTCCCAGGCTCAAGTGATCCTCCTGCCTCATCCTCCAAATAGCTGGGACTATAGGCACATGCCACCATGCCTAGCAAATTTTTTTTTTTTTTTTTTGAGACAGAGTTTTGCTCTTGTTGCCCAGGCTGCTGCACAGTGGTGCAATCTTGGCTCACTGCAACTTCTGCCTTCCAGTTTCAAGCAATTCTCCTCCCTCAGCCTCCTGAGTGGCTGGGACTACAGGTGTGTGCCATCAGGACCAGCTAATTTTTTGTATTTTTAGTGGAGACCGGGTTTCACCATGTTGGCTAGGCTGGTCTGGAGCTCCTGATCTCAGGTGATCCCCCTGCCTTGGCCTCCCAAAGTGCTGGGATTACAGGCATGAGCCATTGCCCCTGGCAATACATATATATTTTTTTTTTTTTTTGTAGAGATGGGGTTTCACCATGGTGCTCAGGCTGGTCTCAAACTCCTGGGCTCAAATGAACCTCCCACCTCGGACTTCCAAAGTGCTGGGATTACAGGCATGAGTCATGGTATCTGCCTGTACTTTACTCTTAATAATAATAAATAGTCTTTTTTTTTTCCTTTTTGTAAACAGTCTTTATCACCAGATTTTAAAAAATAGCCACTGTTTGCAAGAGCAGCATGGCTATCTGCTGCATGTGCATTACCTGCATTCTGCTCCATGCTCTCCTTGATGCCATCTAGGAGCTCCTGTGCATCTTCCACATTCTCCTCTTCCTCTTCCTCTTCGCCTTCTTCTTCTCCTTCCCCTACATCCCCTACATCCTTAGGTGCAACAATCGCCTCCTGCATGCCACAGGGATATTCACATTGGACGATGCCCTGCATTGATTTGCTACTCACAAATCAGCTGGCAGGTAATCCCGGAAAAAGCCTGGGACCCAAATAGGGCATGTACCCTATGACAGCTCTCATGCAAAATTTTGCAGGATGTGCATATCCAAAAAGACACGTGAGAGCCTTGAGGTTTTTCTTACACTATATTTAAGAGAATAGTGTATTTTTGTGCTAATGCCAGAACTGCTGGAGTCAACACTTTTCTAATGCATTATTCTGCAATATTGGATTGTATCTTACTTGAAGGAACCACATGTAGAAATCAAGTCTGTTAATAATCATTGATGAAAACTTCCTCAGTATCTGCCATTTCCAATAAAATGATAATAAGCAGTTTATAAATAAATAGTCTGATGATACCCTGAGAAACATACAACAAGAATAAAAAACCCAAAAATGTTCCAGGCAACAGAGAGAACACAAGATATACTTTGAACCACAGCTAGAGGCAGACTAAATTTCAAGGGCAACCCATGGAAACTGCTTCCATCTCAGAGAAAAGCCCTGTAGAGTTTTGTGCTTTCATAACTGGTAACAAATCTCTTGTTTACTGACATATAAAATTAGTTGCTTGTTTATTACAAAACTAAGAAAAGCATTTCTAAAATGTTAAAATTCCCAATAAAGTAGTTAGAAGCCATTTCAGGAAGGACATGGTGGCTCATGCTTGTAATCCCAGCACTTTGGGAGGCCGAGGCAGGCGGATCACCTAAGCTCAGGAGTTCAAGACCAGCATGGCCAACATTGTGAAACCCCATCTCTACTAAAAATACAAAAATTAGCCAGGCATGGTGGCACACGCCCATAATCCCAGCTATTCGGGAGGCTGAGGCAGGAGAATTGCTTGAACCCGGGAAGCGGAGGTTGCAGTGAGATGTGATAGTACCACTGCACTCCAGTCTAGGCAATAGAGCAGACTCTGTCTCAAAAAGAAGCCATTTTACAAGATGGTGCTAAAGGTAATGAAGGAGGCTCCTGTTCTTCCCCAAGCCAAAGCCGAAGCAAAAGCTTTGAAGCTTAAGATGGCAGTGCTGAAAGGTGTCCACAGCCACAAAGAAAAGAAGAGCTACACGTCATCCACCCTCCAGTGTCCCAGGACATCCTCTGAAGAGTGTCCTCAGGAGAAACTAGTGGGACCACTCTGCCATCATCAACTAACTTCCCCGACCCCTGAGTTGGCCATGAAGAAGACAGGAGACAAACACACACTGGTGTTCATTTCGGATGCCAAAGCCAGCAAGTGCCACACCCAGCAGGCTGTGAAAAAGCCCTCTGATGCTGATGCAGCCAAGGTCAACACTATGCTCGGGCCTGAGGGGGAAGAGAAGGCAGACGATCCCTTGGCTACTGATTAAGATGCCTTGGATATTGCCAACAAAATTGAGATCATCTAAACTGCATCTGGCTGGCTAATTCTAATATACATTTTTTCACCCCAAGAATGATAAAGTAATTAATTAAAATGCCCAGAAAAGTAGTTAAAAGTGTTACCAGTTTTGCTATGGCTTCGGAGATGACATCCTTCAGTTGGATGTGATGCAGTTTGTAGTACTTGGACAATTCTTCAGCAATGCTGGATTTTCCCACGGCGGGGGGACCGAGAATGCAGATCTTGATTGGCTGAAAGAGGAGAGAGTAAGGAACATACAGCAAGCTCTGAATGATCTGTAGCTAGACAGAGTGGCTTTTTATTTCAGAGGAGTGCTTTTTTTTTGAGACAGAGTCTCACTCTGTTGCTCAGTCTGGAGTGCAGTGGCACAATCTCGCTTACTGCAACCTCAACCTCCGCCTTCCAGGTTCAAGTGATTCTCTAACTCAGTCTCCCAAGTAGCTGAGACTACATGTGCGCATCACCATGCCCAGCTAATTTTTGTATCTTTTGTAGAGACAGGGTTTCACCATGTTGGCCAGGCTGGTCTTAAACTCCTGGCCTCAAGTAATCTCCCTGTCTCGGCTTCCCAAAGTGCTGGGATTACAGGCATGAGCCACCATACCTGGCCAGGAGTGCCCTTTTAAAACAAAGTCTCTGGACCCTGCAGGCTAACTCTCAGTCTTCTGTGGAGACTCCAGAGTCACTGCCTCTAACCCTGCCGCCACCACCATGGTGGCTGCCATGTCATCCTGAAAGTGTCTGCTCTCTGGTCAGACAGTTAATGTTCTGTTTCGTGTCCATTCATTCAGTAGGTATTCAATAAGCACCACCTACATGGGCTGATCTAAGGCTGGGAAATAGGACCACATAAGAAGATGTGTCAGGAACAGCTCAGCCTGGCCCAAATGGTGAAACCCCGTCTCTACTAAAGTTACAAAAATTAGCCGGGTGTGGTAGTTCATGCCTGTAATCTCAGGTACTGCTCGGGAGGCTGAGGCACAAGAATTGCTTGATCCCAGGAGGTGGAGGTTGCAGTGAGCCAAAATCACACCACTGCACTCCAGCCTGGGTAACAGAGTGAGACTCTGTCTCAAAAAATAAAGTAAAACAAAATAAAAATTTGCTTCATCTCTCTGAGCCATAGTTTCCTCATCTATACTATGGAGACAAGAATATCTATCTTTCACCATAAAAAATGATAAGGGTGTGAGTTAACACAGATCTTAATTAGCTCAATTTAGCCATTCCTCAATGTCTACATATTTCAAAACATTATGTTGTACAGGATACACGTATGTAATTTTCATTTGTCAATTTCATTTAATTAATTCTTTTAATTAATTTATTTATTTTAGAATGAGTCTTGCTCTATCACCCAGGCTAGAGTGCAGTGGTGCAATCTTGGCCCACTGCAACCTCCACCTCCCGGATTCAAGTAATTCTCCTGCCTCAGCCTCCCGAGTAGCTGGGACTACAGGTGCATGCCACCACACCTGGCTAATTTTTGCATTTTTAGTAGAGATGGAGTTTCACCATGTTGGCCGGGCTGGTCTCGAACTCCTGACTTCAAGTGATCCACCTGCCTTAGCCTCCCAAAGTGCTGGGGTTACAGGCGTGAGCCACCTCGACTGGCCAATTAATTAATTCTTAAAAAAGAATATCTACCTTGAAAAGTTGTGATGATTAAATGACCAGTGGGTCTCCTGACCAGTTAGAAAGAGATCAAAGTAGTAATCAGGCTTCTTCTACCTCCCACATGTATACCCAGGACTGAAACAAGCAAGCCAGGAAGGCACTTGATATTTTTCCTTATTTAATATTCTTCCTTATATGGACAAAACTGTGACATCACTCTTGAGCTTCCTGTTATGTGCAATTTGCATACATCATCTATGTCAACTTTAAAACTGTTCATGTTTGGTTGACAAGTATTTACTTAATATACATGTAAATGTGTTAGACCCGGACAAATTTGTCAAATGTGAAAAACAACTTGAAATTAGAACATTTGAAAAAGCAAATGGTTCCACTGGCATAATCACATTGGAAGTTTGATTTACTTTGCTTGAATCAGAAGTTTCAATGGGAAACAATGATGGTTACCATTAGTCCTCTGCTTTGTTTGTACTCCTTGAGGATATTGTTGATGTTTTCCACAAATCCTGTTTGGGCGGCCCATCGAATATTAAAATTCTCCTTCACAAAGAGCGCTTCCATTCTTAAGTTGACCAGTAAATGGTCGAGACAATCTTGCTAAGAGATGGAAGATAATTAGAGGTTAGTCTTTTTTTGTTTAATTCCGATTGTCATAACAGACCGAAATCATTACGGTTATTAAAAAAAGACAATATACACTCCCTAAACGTGGAATCTGGCACTGAGTATTTACAGATCACCTGTGTGACACTACGTTACTTCTAAATAGTCCCCATGTCTACTCTGATGGCGGGCCACATTCTGGCTGAACAAGAAGGAAGATACTGGAAATCCCAATTTTCTTTTTTAAAAATTTTAATTGCATCTACTTTTTGAACACTGCAGTTTCATGATTCAAAATCCAAAAGAACAAAAGGTGCAAAGAAAAATATTCCCTATGACCTCTGACCACCACCCACCCAGTTCTGCTCCTCAAGGCAACCAATAATATCAGTCCTTTCAGAAACACATTTGAGTGCAGTGTTTAGATGCAACTTATTCTTAAAAAGAATTGCATTCTAATGCAAGCTTAAAGAGCACACTGCAAAAAACCCTATTTTTTTAGTTGCGATGGGATTGGAATTGCAGGCTGCTATTTGAATTTTAGAAAGAGGCCAGAGAAAATAAATTCCAGTGTTTGTACAGCATTTTACGTATCAAATAGCTTCCAAACAGCTTACATTTTGTTTTGTTTTGTTTTGTATTTTGAGGTGGAGTTTCAATCTTGTTGCCCAGACTAGAGTGCAATGGCACTATCTTGGCTCACTGCAACCTCCACCTCCCGGGTTCAAGTGATTCTCCTGCCTCAGCCTCCCAAGTAGCTGGGATTACAGGTGTGTGCCACCATGCCTGGCTAATTTTGGTATTTTTAGTAGAAACAGGGTTTCACCTGTCTGATCAGGCTGGTCTCAAACTCCTGACCTCAGGTGATCCACCCTCCTCGGCCTCCCAAAGTGCTGGGATTATAGGGGTGAGCTACCATGCCTGGCCTAAATACATTTTCTGACCACGACCTCTGAGTGTTTTTCAGGAAGGACAGCTGAAGAGAAGAGTAAGTTGCTTTAGGGTAGAACATCTGGTGGTGGGGTAGGAGTTGACAACAGCTTTGGAAGCCAGGCCTCTGACTCCAAATCCCTCAAGAACCAACGTTATTTAGCCAAAACCTATCTGATATTAAAAAAATAATAATACTCAATATTATCGAGGAAGAAAAAAAAGACACCACATATACTAACCGTTAAGTCCTTGGTTAGGTATGCATTTTCTCTGGGTATTTTCTGGATTTTCCCAGGGCCAGTATTTTTACTGATACACTGTTAGAGGAAAATTGAAATATTATTTGGTTTACCTGGAAGATTTTACTTTATATGAAACTCAAATGGGTCGGGCGCAGTGGCTCATGCCTGTAATCCCAGCACTTTGGAAGGCCGAGGCGGGTGGATCACCTCAGATCAGGAGTTTGAGACCAGCCTGGCCAATGTGGTGAAACCCTGTCTCCACTAAAAATATCAAAGTTGGCCAGGTGTGGTGGCGCATGCATGTAGTCCCAGCTACACAGGAGGCTGATACACAGGAAATGTTTGAACCTGGGAGGCGGAGGTTGCAGTGAGTCGAGATGGGGCCACTGCACTCCAGCCTGGGTGATAGAACAAGACTCCGTCTCAGAAAACAGACAAACAAAAACCTCAAGTGAATGTGAGCATAATTGAATTTTTAAAAGTAGCATTAGTGCCAGGTAGTGGAGATAAAGATGAGCATGGCCAGGGATCTGCCCTCAAGAGCTCCCGGTGTGAAAAGGGAGACAGAACTGTACACAGATAATTATCATGTGGAGTGTTTGCAGCTCAGCAAAGGGGATTCTGTGCTGTAGCCTGAATGTCTGTGTCCCACAAAATTCACACGTTGAGATCTTCACCCTTAAGGTGATGGTATCAGGAGGTGGGGCCTTTGGGGGGAGAGTGGGTTATGAGGATAGAGACCTCAAGAATGAAATTAGTGTCTTACAAAAGGGCCCCAGAGAGTGCCTTCGCCCCCCTCACCCCCACCATGTGAGGACACAGGGAGAAGGCAACATCTATGAAGCCAAAAAGCAGGCCCTCGTCAGACACTGAATCTGCTGGGGTTTTTTTTCCACAATGATTTTTTCTTTTTCAGACAGGGTCTTGCTCTGTCACCCAGGCTGGAGTGCAATGGCACAATCTTGGCTCACTGAAACCTCTGCCTCCTGGTTTCAAGCAATTCTGCCGCAGCCTCCTGAGTAGCTGGGATTACAGACATGCACCACCACGCCTGGCTAATTTTTGTATTTTTAGTAGAGATAGGGTTTCACCATGGTGGCCAGGCTGGTCTCAAACTCCTGACCTCAAGTGATCCACCCACCTCGGCCTCCCGAAGTGCTGGGATTACAGGCATGAGCCACCTTGCCAGCCATGCTGGTTTTTTTTTGAGAGAGGATCTTGCTCTATTGCCCAGGCTGGAGTGCAGTGGTGCACTTATAGCTCACTGCAGCCTTGAATTCCTGGGTTCACACAATCCTTGAACCTTAGCCTCTCAAGTAGAAAGGACTATAGATGTGCTCCACCAAGCCTGGATGATTTTTAAAATTTTTTTGTAGAGAGGGGGTCTCACTATGCTCCATGCTCGGCTCAGACTCCTGGCCTCAAGTGATTCTTCCACCTGAGCCTCCTATAGTGCTGGAATGACAGGTGTGAGCCACCATGCCCGGCTGAATCTGCCTTGATCTTGCGCCCAGCCTCCGGAGCTATGAACAATAAATGTCTTCTGTTTATAAGCTACTCAGTTTATAGTATTTTGTTACAGCAGTTCAAACAGACCAAGACATTCTGGGATGAAGAGGGACACCTGTCCTGTGCAGGACGTGGGAAGGAGGCAGGAAGGGTGCACAGGAAGATAGATGAACTACATTTTTTTTCTTTTTTTTGACAGGGTGTTGCCCTGTCATCCAGGCTAGTGTGTAGTGGCATAATCTTGGCTTACTGCAACCTCTGCTTCCTGGGCTCAAGTGATCCTCCCACCTCAGGCTCCTGAGTAGCTGGGACTACAGGCACATCATGCCTGGCTGATTTCTGTATCTTTTTTTTTTTTTTTTTTGTAGAGATGGGGTTTCACCATGTTGCCCAGGCTTGGGCTGAATCTTAAAAATGAATAAGGAGTAGCCAGGAGAAGCGCAGGAGAAGGCTGCACTAGCTGGGCCACATGGTAGCTGCCTTAGCTGAGCAGCCTGGACTGGAAGAGGAAGCTCTCGCAGATCTAGACTCCTGAGGCTGGGCACGACAGCTCACACCTCTGACGGTGACCTGACTTTCAGAAGCTGAGGCAGGAGGGTAATTTGAACCCAGGAGTTTGAGGTTGCAGTGAGCTATGATCACACCACGGCACTCCAGCCTGGGTGACAGAGTGAGACGCTACATCAAAAAAATAAATACATAAACCAATACATAATATTAAAAATAGAGCTCCTGGGATTGGCCAGTAGGTTGGTGAACCTGACCACATCAATACTTTGGGGCAAGGGCCTACCGGCGGATTTTAGTATTCTGGTGTGTCATCTGTGTGTGTGTCTGGAGGGCAATGATGACCGTCTTCTTAACATTGAGCCCTGCAGTGGACTTTCTCGTTTCCCTCTGTGCATGTAAAAGAGAAAGGCTGTTTTGGTAGTAACCTTAAAGCATATACTGCAAATGCAGATAGTGAGTTTGGGTTTTATGGAGATTCTACTTTGGAGTCCCAGTTGTGTTAGCATAGCTGATTGTATAACTACACTCCAGGGGGTAAAACTAAGAAGCATTATCAAAATATGGGATAACCTACTGTACCTTGACTAAGTCTTCCAGGGTATGAACAGACTCATCCACAGCAACCAGGTAGCGAGGCTTTGGCGCGTGATCTATGACGTTTTGGATCACTCTGCAGACCCACAGGTAAAATAATCATCAGAGGGAGAAGGCGAAATAGATGCAGTCAACTAGAATTCACTGACTACCACCCGCATGGCTGGGCATAGGATTTGGTGCTCTGATAAGTCATCTCTGTGTTCGATAAGGTCAGGGTTGAGCTGGTTATCTGCATTCTCCAGATGAGGAAGATGCCAAAGGGTCTGGTGACATTCTCAGGCTGAAGAGCTATTGTGAAAGTGGAAGAGCCAGCCTTTGAGGTCAGATCCATCTGGTTCCGACCTGTCTTCTTTCTAGTGTACTCACCTGTCTCCCACCGAGGGGACTTGACCGCAGCAGGACTTCAGTTTATGAAGCCCTCCCCATCCAGTGGCTCATTTGAGCCTCACAACAGTGCTTTATGGAGGTGTTTTACAAAGCAAGACACAGATTTAGACATGCTGTGGCTCTTTTAAAGAAGTCACGTAGCAACAGTGACTGAGCCTGCTTTCCTCTTCCGAGTTGCCAAGGTTTCCGAGTGCTTGCCTCTGTGCTGAGGGTGGCACAGGTGTGATTCCACTGAATTCTCACAGCCTAGCATGGAGGTACTGCTCCTATCCCCATAACTAACTTTCCCAAATTCACACAGCTAGTGAGAGGCAGAGCAGATATTGGAACAAAACTTACAGAATTCCAGAGAGAAACAATAGTGAATAGAAGTCTACCACAATGACTTGTCAATTCTACCTCCATCTTAGCTTCCTTTCAGTAAGATGAAAATAAATTGGATGCATGCTTCCAAATGTGCATTTCACATTTATTTTGTATTCACTTCTGTTTTTCCTATGTTTATTTATTTATTTTGAGTCTCACTCTGTCACCCAGGCTAGCAGGCAGTGGTGCAATCATGGCTCACTGCAGCCTCAGCCTCCCAGGCTCAAGTGATCCTCCTGCCTCCACCTCCCGAGTAAGTAGCTGGGACTACAGGAACGAGCCACCAAACCCGGCTGATTTTCGTATTTTTTGTAGAGACGAGAGTTTCATTGTGTTGTCCAGCTGGTCCCGAACTCCTGGGCTCAGGCGATCCATCCACTTGGCCTCCAAAAGTGCTGGGATTACCAGTGTGAGCCACTGCACCCAGCCTATTTTGTATCAATTTCTCAGAACATTTCAGCTTTTTGCTTCTTCCTTGGTTAAATATTTGACAATCTTCAAAGAAACCTCTGGGGAAAAATTGCTACTTAAAGGGGTCTGTCAAAAGACAAAATGGTAACAAATCTACTTAAAGATTTCAGTTGGCTTTATTTGTGATTCTAGAATCAGACAACACTTCATTCCATGAAACAGAACAAATATGTCAGTAAAATGAGCAGAGGCGGGTGGTTTGATAGGCAGAAAGGGCTGCAGTAGCAGAAACAAAGAACGAAAAGCACACTGCTCATCTCAAAGTTACTTTCCTTGTAAAGACAGACAGGGAGAACAGAAAAATAACTAATGTGGCCCCGCATAGTAGCTCATACCTGTAATCCCAGTACTTTTGGAGGCCAAGTGGATGGATCACCTGAGGTCAGGAGTTTGAGACTTGCTTGGCCAACATGGTAAAACCCCGTCTCTACCGAAAACAGAAACATTAGCTGGGCGTGGTGGCAGGCACCTGTAATCCCAGATACTTGGGAGGCTGAGGCAGGAGACTCTCTTGAACCCAGGAGACAGAGGTGACAGTGAGCTGAGATCATGCCATTGCACTCCAGCCTGGGCAACAGAGTGAGACTCCATCTCAAAAAAAAAAAGGAAAGGAAAGATAACTGATGGGTTACCACCAGGTTACTTCAGGCTACTTTTTGTCATAAGGATTAAAACACAGAGAGCTTTATTATTATGCCTATTGAAGATTGAAACTGGCTTGTTTGAAAAATTAGCTGTTATTGCTCTCCTTTGCTTTCTCAAAAGGTCACATAGCAGCTTAGTTTCAGTTTGGTGACTGGAACGTTAGCATCGGTGGCTCCATTTTGATTTCATTCCAGTCTGTTGGGGCCTAGTACAAGAGCCTAGTCAAAAACAGTGGCCACCTATAATTTGTTTTTAACAGGCCCCAAATCCTTCTGTAATGGGAATAATTTCACCCTCTAATTTATATTTGAAAGTAATCTGCTAAGAACTAATGCTAAGGAAGTTATTTTAATAATGTAAAAGACTCTTCTATATCTTTGAAACCCAGTAATGTCATAATGTAAAAATCTCTGCAGAAAAAAAATGGGTATGTTTCGGCCCCTCCATCCCCAGGGATGGAGCAGATCCAGGGTTCTGTAGTGCCTGAAGCTTAGCCCATTTATAGCAAGCTTGTCAAACCTGCGGCCTGTGGGCCACATGAGGCCTAGGATGGCTTTGAGTTCGGCCCAACATGCTTTGTAAACTTTAAAACCTTATGACATTTTTGCAATTTTTTTTTAAAGCTCATCAGCTATCGTTAGTGTTAGTATATTTGATGTGTGACCCAAGACAATTCTTCCAGTGTTACCCAGGGAAGCCAAAGGATTGAATATCTCTGGCTTACAGGAGCGTTCTTTAAGGAAAATACTGAAAATTAGGTTCAGGGTCTTGGAAAGGGGTCTGCTCAGGGATGTGTCCCTGAAGTTTACACTTCCTTCATTTCCCTGTAAATCTATAAATTTGTCTGAGATTGTGACTAATTTTCTCATGGCCAGTGGATGAGGGAAAGAGTGGGAATCTGAAAACTAGAACCTCAGAGAGGTGCAGAAATTGCTCCCTTCTGGGGATGTGCCACAGGGGTGACAGAATGAAGTCCTTGGAAGCTGGAATGTGGAGCTGATGAACCACAAACACAGTGAACCAGCTTCTGACCTCACATTTAAGTCAGGGTCTTCAAAGGAGAAGAAGGCTTTCTGGACCTGTCTGAATACGGGGTTTAGACGCTTTCTGAGTATAAAAAAAAAGTGTCAACTTTACCTACAACTGTCAAAGGAAAAAAAAAAAAGCTTCAAGTTTACAGTTTGTCATCTGAATTCTAGAATTTGAGTTGGTGGGTTAGACATATTAATCTCATCTGGAACAAAGGAATAAGAAACTATGTCCTCAGAATGTACATAGCAAGTTCTTTCTTTTCCAAAATTGGAGGGCGTTGCTATTCTGCTGATAGTTTCTAAGAGATGAACCTGAACTTGTCACCAGAAATGTAGACCTTGTGAACAGTGGGCACTATTTCATTGGATGAAAAATGGAGAAGATGGTACTTTCTGCAAAGAGTTGTTATGAAGAGTGAATGCAGTAATGCACATAAGGGTCTTAGCACTTAGCAAGTGCTCAAACTGTATTAGCCTTACAAACACACACACTAACCAAGTCTGTGAAGGTCATGTCTCTGGGAGAATGCTCACCCTGCTAGATCAAGAACATGGATTGCTGGAATTACATTTGTTCCGTCGCCAAAAACTGGTAATGCAGGAATCTCGCCCAACCAAGCCATCTGAAAGAAAGAAAAGCAAAACCACGACCCCCCAGTTTTACGTGGATAGTTATTACAGCTCACACATAAGTCTACAGTCAGAGGCATCCAAAAGACCTAGCTATCTGCTTAGGTAATTTCCTCTAGGAGATGTTTTATAAATCAGCCCCGATGAGATTTAGGATTAAATTCTACCAAAAGAAATAACATGTAGCTTTGGGACTGAAATACTTCTCAAGAAATCTACTGCCTCCCAGTCGTATTTAGTAGCTATATGCATGTCATCGACATGGAGAAGAAATGTTTTCACATGCATGATGTCTTTAATTCTTACAAAAAGACTCATTAAAATTTAAAATTACCCTCACCGGTAGGGATGAGGTGAGGGGGGAAATAATTACCATCAGTACAGGGATAAAACGCTTCAGTGGATAAAGTAGCAGAAGAGAGCCTGGACTGGAACCCCAATCCTCAGAGTCCAAATCCTCGTCTTTTCTTCTCATTAAGTATTTCAGGAACCAAACAGACATGCTGAGTACTGTTTAAGTGTTGTGTATTAGATTATTTCGAATTGTTGTGAAGAGTGAAGGAGGCAGGAGTGAGGGTCACAGTAGACCGCCAGGTCTTGTAAGATATTTTGGACTTTGAGAAAGGGTTGAAGAGTTCTAAGCAGTGATGTGACAGCAGCAGGATGGATTTTGTTGCCTTGTGGAGAAGTGGTGGGAAGGACAGTCCAACAGGGAGAGAGGTGATGGCAGGTGTGTAGGTGAGATGGGCTAGCCTAGCTTGGAGGTGGGAACTGCACAGAGTGGGGGTGGAGAAGAGTGAGCTATTGAGGAGGCTGGCTGTAGTAACTGGGAATTTTGTGATGTGTCATGTGAAAGGAAAATAAATCTTGGGACCCCAAAATCACTAAGCCAAAGGGAAGAGTCAAGCTGGGAACTATATAAAGCAAATCTGTCTCTCAAAGATTTCATTTTGTTTCTTTTTCTTTTTCTTTTTGAGACGGAGTCTTGCTGCATTGCCCAGGCTGGAGTGCAGTGGTGTGATCTCGGCTCACTGCAACATCCACCACCCAGGTTCAAGTGATTCTCCTGCCTCAGCCTCTCAAGTAACTGGGATCACAGGTATGTGCCACAATGCCTGGCTAATTTTTGTATTTTTAGTAAAGATGGGGTTTCACCATGTTGGCCAGGCTGGTCTCAAACTCCTGACCTCAGATGATCCTCCCGCCTCAGCCTCCCAAAGTGCTGGAATTACAGGCATAAGCCACAGTGCCCGGCCTTACTCAAAGATTTTTTTTTTTTTTTTTTTTTTGTCACTCAAAGATTTTTAAAGCTACATACCTTCCTCACAATTTTCCTATTAGGAGCTTATTTGTAGGCCCCATGAGCTTTACCTTAAAACAGTTCTGTTGAATTTCACCCTGACAATGTGAAATGACAGCTTATCTTCACAGGTGCAAGACAAGGACAGAACTCAGTCATCCCTCTGCTCACCTGATACAAATGCATATCTGATTGTTCCCTCTGCCTTATGTTTATCTTATCTTATGTAACAATGCAGATTCACTCAGCTAGATGAATGCGTAAGTGACTATTCTTCTACCCTTCCATTAGGTTGAACAGCTGATCAAAAACTCGAAAGAATGCACCTGCTTGGCTCTTATCTACCCACATCTTTGATTTATTTTTTGTAGACACAGGGTTTCACCATGTTGCCCAGGCTTGTCTCAAGCTCCCTGCTTGGATCAAGCCATCCACTCATCTTGGCCTCCCAAAGTGCTGTACTGGGAATATAGGCATCAGCCACCATTCCTGGCTTACCCATACCTTTAAAAAATTTCTTCCTCTTTCTCCAATATCTCTTTTTTTTTTTTTTTTTTTTTTTTGAGACGGAGTTTCACTCATGTTACCCAGGCTGGAGTGCAATGGCGCGATCTCGGCTCACGGCAACCTCCACCTCCTGGGTTCAGGCAATTCTCCTGCCTCAGCCTCCTGAGTAGCTGGGATTACAGGCACGCACCACCATGCCCAGCTAATTTTTTGTATTTTTAGTAGAGACGGGGTTTCACCATGTTGACCAGGATAGTCTCGATCTCTTGACCTCGTGATCCACCCGCCTCGGCCTCCCAAAGTGCTGGGATTACAGGCTTGAGCCACCGCGCCCGGCCTCTTTCTCCAATATCTACCCTTTCCCCTTTAAATATTGAAGCCCTCAAAGGCATCTTTGGAGAAAGGCACAGACCTGTTTCCTGGGCATGCGTTCTTAACCTTGGCACAATAAACTTTTAAATTGATTGAGACCCGTCTCCGAACCTTTTTGGTTTGCAGTAAGAAGGAGGGAGGAGTTGGATTCTGATCATGCAGCTAGGTGGAGAGTTGCCCCATTTTCTGAGGTGGTGCCTTGGAGGAGGAGCAGGCTTGGGGATGACTGTAGGTATAGTTTGGATTTGGGAAACACTTCCAAGTTGAGGTGCTGAGTAGGCAGCTGGACCTTCAGAGCTAGAACTTAAGAGACAGAGGCTTGCTGGAGACCTAAGTTTGAGTCATTGGTATCAGTCATGGGAATTTTAAATAGACCAAGGGAGAGAGTGCAGAGGGTGAAGAAAAAAGGTCTAGGGCCAAGGCCTGAGAATGCCAAGATACAGTGAGCAGGTAAGTGAGGCGTAGGTGAGAATGGACAGTAAGAAAGAGCTTCCTTGAACTTCTCCTCTACAACTGTCGTATCTCTTGTATTAAAAAAAATCAGTTCGAGACCGGGCGTGGTGGCTCACACCTGTAATACCAGCACTTTGGGAGGCTGAAGACGGTGGATCACAGAGTCAGGAGTTCAAGACCAGCCTGGCCAACATGGCAAAATCCCATCTCTACTAAAAATACAAAAATTAGCTGGGCATGGTGGCAGGCACCTATAAACCCAGCTACTTGGGAGGCTGAGGGAGGAGAATTGCCTGAAATGGGGAGGCAGAGATTGCAATGAGCTGAGATTGTGTCACTGCACTTCAGCCTGGACGACAGAGCAAGACTCCATCTTGAAAATAAGTAAATGAGGGCCGGGCGCGGTGGCTCAAGCCTGTAATCCCAGCACTTTGGGAGGCCGAGGCGGGTGGATCACGAGGTCAACAGATCGAGACCATCCTGGTCAACATGGTGAAACCCCATCTCTACTAAAAATACAAAAAATTAGCTGGGCATGGTGGCGCGTGCCTGTAATCCCAGCTACTCAGGAGGCTGAGGCAGGAGAATTGCCCGAACCCAGGAGGCGGAGGTTGCGGTGAGCCGAGATCGCGCCATTGCACTCCAGCCTGGGTAACAAGAGCGAAACTCCATCTCAAAAAAAAAAAATAAATAAATAAATAAATAAATAAAACGAAAATAAAAAATCAGTTCAACCAACCTCTCTTAACCACACTTTTTCCTTTAACTCCTGCCTTCTTTCTCTGGACCTCCTCCTTTTACAGGAAAATTCCTTGAAATATTTCTCTATTCTCATTGTCTTCGATTCCTCTCCACCTGCTCCCTCTTGAACCTACTTCTATTAGACTTTCGTCCTACTCAGTGCCAAAACATTCAGTGGTCAATTTGCAGGTTTCACCTTACTTGATTGTCTGCAGTATCTTACACAGTTCATCATTCTTTCTTTTTAGAAACTTTTTTTCATAATGATTTACTCCCCTCTTATTTCCTCTCCTGCCTCCTGCCTCCCCTTCTCAACCTCCTTTCCTAATTTCCTCCCATTTCCCTATAACCTCCAACATTGAAGGGTGCCAAGACTCAGTCCTCAGGCCCCATTCTCTTCTCCATATTCATTCACTAGTTGATGTCATCCCGTCCCAAGGATTTAAGTACCCACTATATACTGTCAGGTCCCATGATTATATCTCCAGACCTGACCTCCCTCAGGATCACGAAACTCTTTACGTCCAATAGCCCACCCAGTATCTATACGTGGATATTAATTATCTCAAACTTCCTGTGCTTTCCACTGCATTCTACCCCAGCCAGCACCATTCCCTGTCTTCCTTATCGCAATAAACGGCAGTACCATACTTCCAGTTGCTTAGACCAAAATCCTTAAAGTTATCCTTTGTGTCTGTCATCCTTACAGCCAAGCTTTGAACAAATCCCATTGACTTTATCTTCAAAATATGTTAGAAATCTGAACAGTTTCCAGTATCCCCGCCATTCTCACCCGGGTCTTAGGCACTACCCTCCTCACTGGTTTCCTTGCTTCCGGCTCCTGCCCTTGCCCCAAATAGTACATCCTCAGCACAGCAGAAGGAGAAAGCTGTCCTTTTGTGACTTCACATGGATTATATCGCTTCTGTGCTCAAACAGTCTAACGGTTGCCCATCTTATTCAGAAAGAAAGCCAGAGCTTCAGGAGGGGCTACGAGGCTGGGCTTGGTCTAACTCTCTCATGACTGCTTTGATCTCATGACCACTGTTTTCCCATACTTCAGCTAGATGGATCTAGGTTGGTCTACAGCTGCACATTTCTGCCTCACTTCTTTGCACTTACAGTTCCCACTGCCTGGGATGTCTTTCTCCAGAAAGCCGATTAGCCAGCTCCCTGATGGCTCTTCCCTTCCTACTCAAACGTCACATTGTTGGAAAGACCTTCCTCTACCTTCCTGTATAAAATATAACTTCCCTGACCCCCCACAACCTTACTTCCCAGCTCTCTATGTCTTTCTCTGCTTTGTCGTTTTCCATAGCCTGTTTCAATACCTGAAGTACTCAATATTTACTGACTTGTTTATTACCTATCTATCTCTCCACCCTGCCAGAATTAAGCTTCACAAGAGGAGGGACTTTATTATTTTACTGTATCCCAAGTACCTACAACAGTTTCTAACACCTGGTGGGCACTAGACCAATATTTGTTTCATGAATGAAAGGAGATTCATCTTTATTACTCTGAGAATGTGAATACAAGTTAATAATGGGAAAGAGAATTAGGTCTTTGTGGTCACATCCATACTTTCCTTCATTTTCTGCTATTCTCCTGAACTAAACACATCCAAAGCAATCAAAAACACCTTCAAATTGTATATCTTTGTCGTAAGACACTTTAAAGACTTCATTGAAAAGCTATACCTTAAAAAATGTGTGTAAGATGCCTCCTTCCGCTCCATACTGGAGTCCAGCAGCAACTACGTAAGTTGAAAATTTTCTGGACTATTAGATAAAATACAGGAAAAAAAGGTGAATGTAACATTATTAATCATATTGAACCAGATTATTTTAGTAGTTAAAATGGACACTTTCAGAGCTTCCGTCAACTCTGGCAGGTTACTGAGGTATTGTTTGGGATAGAAACTGTATCTCCTAAAGGGGGAAACACTACCCCCACACTATTCAGGAACACTTCTGACCACTGACCATTATTAATTTATTTTTTTTTTTTTTTGGAGACAGAGTCTCACTCTGTTGCCTATGCTGGAGTGCACTGGCGCGATCTCGGCTCACTGCAACCTCCACCTCCCGGGTTCAAGCAATTCTCCTGCCTCAGCCTCCCGAATAGCTGGGACTACAGACATACACCATCACGCTCTGCTAATTTTCTGTATTGTAGTAGAGACAGGGTCTCACTATGTTGCCCAGGCTGGTCTTGAACCCCTGAGCTCAGGCAATCTGCTTGCCTTGAGCTCCCAAGATGCTAGTCTTACAGGTCTGAGCCACGGTGCCTGGCCTCACTATTAAAATATAACAGGGTCTCCTAATTAAATTAAAGCCAGAGTTTTTGTGAAACCCTAATATCTGTAAGTCTATGCTGGGCACTGAGTGGGAAAAGAAGATAGAAAAACAGGTCTTTCCACGAGGATCTTTAATGATCTAGTAGGAAGGGAGACATAACACATGAAACCAGGGAGCTGGTAATGGGCCTTAACACAGGACGGAAATGCACACGGATTGTCCACTTCACCCTGGATGAGCAGTTTAGGCACTGAAGGAACTGGCCTCAATATTTATTTATTTTTAATTTTTGTGGGTACATAGTAGGCATACATATGTATGAGCTGCATGAGATGTTTTGATATAGGCACGCAGTGTGAAATAAGCACATCATGGAGAATGTGGTATCCATCCCTTCAAACATTTATCCATTGAGTTACAAACACTCCAATTACACTCTTTATTTTAAAACCTACAGTTCAGTTATTACTGACTATGGTCACCCTGTTGTGATATCAAATAGTAGGTCTCATTCATTTTTTCTGTTTTGTACCCATGAATTATCCCTCCCTCCCCCTACCCCCCACTACTCTTCTCAGACTCTACTCTCTGCCTCAGCATTCAACCAGATAAGCTCAAAATACCGTCTTTATTACTGATAGGAGTTCTACTGAAGGACATGTGTTAGGTGAGCCATGACAATGAGCTTCCTAACCCCGAATCATATTGAACCAGGTTATTCTCTACACAGAAAAAGAATAAGATGAACTTTTCCGACCAGTCCCAGGCAACCAACACTGGACAACTAGGGACTTCTTCATATGGCGGCCTGCTGCTGTGAGTCTCAGGGTATGAAGAAGGCGAAATACACAGTAGCTGCCATTCCCAGAGAGAAGGGAAGGAGGAAGGGGCCAAGCTCACATGGCCAGGCCCTTCCCAAACCCACCAATCAGAAAACTTGCTTGAGCTTCTTCAGGCCAACCAGGAGGTTTTTTGTTTGTTTGTTTGTTTGTTTGAGACAGAGTTTTACTCCTGTTGCCCAGGCTGGAGTGCAGTAACATGATCTAGGCTCACTGGAACCTTGGCCTCCTGGGTTCAAGCAATTCTCCTGCCTCAGCCTCCCAAGTAGCTGAGATTACAGGCTAGAACCACCACACCCAGCTAATTTTTGTACTTTTAGTAGAGACAGGGTTTCGCCATGTTGGCCAGGCTGGTCTTGAACTCCTGACCTCAAGTGATCTTCTCGCTCAGCCAAAGTACTGGGATTGCAGGTGTGAGCCACTGTGCCCAACCATTTTAGGAAGAATGTTATTCAGGTTCTTGTGGGAAGGTCACAAACATTAGGCTTAAAAAGGGGGACATAACCACAGGTACAACAGAGATTTTAAAAATTATGAGAGACTTATGGACAACTTCATGCCAATTAATTTGAAGATTTAGCTTAAAGGGTTCATTTTTTGCCCCCAGACTCCTGCTAACTGCCTTCCCACAGTCCAAGACAGTTTTCAACCAAAGTCTACCGAACAGTCCAAGGCTAAGCCCAGAGACAGAGCAAGATGGCGGGACGGAAATCTCCCCCGAAAAGACAAGAAGAAGTCTCTACACAGAAGAAACAGCTTCATAAGACCCAAGAATCAGGTGAGCCCCCATAGTACCTATTTTAACTTCTTACCGCTGGAAGAGGCACTCAAGAGCCAGAAAAAACAGTTCGGAATTGCCAAAGCCACCTGCCCCCATGAACAAGAGAGCATTTCTGAGCGCTGCAGGAGGGAGAACAGAGCAACCGAGAGGCACTGAACTCAGCGCTGTCCTGTTAGAGCAGGAAGGAAACCCAGGCCAAGCATAGCAGAGGCCAGCCTGGCCCAAGGAGGGAGCATTTAAACCAGCCCTGTCAGAGTGGGGTTTCCGGTACCAGCAGTCGGAGCTGAAGTGCCTCCAAGCAAACTTGAAAGACAATCCAGGCCCTAAGGACTGCAAGTCTTAGGCGAGTTCCAGTGCTGAGCGAGGCCCAGAGACGGTGGACTGCGGAGGGCACGCAACATACCGAGACACCAGCTGGGGCAGCCAAGGGAGAGCTAGCACCAACTCGCTTCTAACCCCAGGCTGCACAGCTCATGGCTCCAAGAGACCCCTTCCTTCCGCTTGAGGAGCAGAGCGGACAGAGTGGGGAGGACTTTGTCTTGCATCTAGGACACCAGCTCAGTCACAGCAGGAAAGGGCACTGGTGAGCAGTGAGGCCTCATTCTAGGCCTAGCTCCCAGGTGACATTTCTAGACACACCCTGGGCCAGAAGGGAACCTACTGCCTCGAAGGAAAGGACCTAGTCCTGGCTGCATTCATCACCTGCTCACTGAAGAGCTCTTGGGCCTTGAATAACCAGCAGTGATACCCACGTACTATGTTGAGGGCCTTGCATGAGCCTTGCTGGCTTCAGGTGAGATTCAGAACTTACCCAGCTGTGCTGACGATGGGACAAAGCTCCTTCTGCTTGAGAAAAGCAGAGGGAACAGTAAAGGGGACTTTGTTTCGTGCCTTAGGTGCCAGCATGGCCAAAGTGGGGTAGAGCACCAAGTGGGCTCTTGGTGTTCCTACCATGACCTGACTCTTGAATGGCATTTCTGGACCTGCCCTGGGCCAGAGGGGAGCCCACTTCCCTGAAGGGTGAGTCCCAGGCCAGACAGCAGCCAAGACCGGCTGACTTAAAGAGGTCTGGGTCCCTAAGGGAATATCAGCGCTAGTCTAGCAGTACTCCTTGTGGCCTGGGGTAGCTACTGGGTGAGGCTTCTCTGCCTTTGGAAAGAAGAGGGAAGACTGGGAAGGACTGTGTCTTGTGGTTTCAGTGCTAGCTCAGCCGCAATACAATAGAACACCAGGGAGACTTCTAAGGTTTATCACTCTTGTCCCTGACCCCTAGAAGGCACTTCTGGACCCACCTGGGGCCTGGGGGACCTTGCCACCCTGAAGGGAAGGACGCAGGCCAGGGTGGTTATGCCACCTGCTGATTGTAGAACCCCGGAGCCCTGAGTGAACACAGGCAGTAACCAGGGAGCGGTTACAGCAGGCCTTGGGTGACACCGAGTGCTGTGCTGGCTTCAGGTCTGACCTAATATAGTCATAGTAGTTGTGACTACAGGGGTGCCTGTATCATTCTACCCCCCAGCTTCAGGTGGCTTAGAACGGAGAGAGAGAGAGAGAGAGAGATTGAGAGAGAGACAGACAGACTCGGTATGTTTGGGAGAATGTAAGGGAAGAGAACAAGAATCTGCCTGGTAATCCAGAGAATTCTTCCAGGTATAGTCTAAGACTATCAAGGGGATACCTCTATGAGTCTGCAGGAACCACAGCATTACTGGCTTGGGGTGTCCCCCAAAGAAGATACAACACAGATCATAGTACCCAAGTCCTTTCAAGTATCTGGAATGGCTTCCCAAGAGGTACAGGTACAAACAAGCCCAGACAGTAAAGACTACAATAAATACCTAACTCTTCAATGCCCAGACACCGAAGAACATCTGATAGCATCAATACCATCCAGGAAAGCATGACCTCACCAAATGAACTAAATAAGGCACTGGGGACCAATCCTGGCAAAACAGAGACATGTGACCTTTCAGACAGAGAATTCAAAACAGCTGCGTTGAGGAAACTCAAAGAAAATCAAGATAACACAGAGAAACAATTCAGAATTCCATCAGATGAATTTATTTTATTATTATTATTTTGAGACGCAGTCTGCTCTGTCGCCCAGGCTGGAGTGCAGTGGCACGATCTCAGCTCACTGCAGCCTCCGCCGCCTGGGTTCAAGCGATTCTCCTGCCTCAGCCTCCCAAGTAGCTGGGATTACAGGCATATGCCACCATGCTTGGTTAATTTTTGTATTTTTTAGCAGAGAGGGGGTTTAACCATGTTGGTTAGGCTGGTCTCAAACTCCTGACCTTGTGATCTGCCTGCCTCAGCCTCCCAAAGTGCTGGGATTACAGGCCCCATCAGATGAATTTAACAAAGAGATTGAAATAATTTTAAAAACTCAAGCAGAAACTCCAGAGCTGAAAAATGCAATTGCCATATTGAAGGATGAATCAGAGTCCTTTAATAGCAAAATTGATCAAAGAAGAAAGAGTGAGCTTGAAAATTCCCTATTAAAAAATATAGTCAGGAGACAAAAGAAAGGAAAAACAATGAAATATGTCTACAAGATCTAGAAAATTGCCTCAAAAGGGCACCTCTGAGAGTTATTGGCCTTTAAGAGGAAGTTGAGTAAGAGATAGGTGTAGACAGTTTATTCAAAGGGATAATAGCAGAGAACTTCTCAAATCTAGAGAAAGATATCAATATCCAAGTACAAGAAGTTTACAGAACACTAAGCAGATTTGACTGAACAACATGATATGGGGTCTGTGTTCCTGCCCATATCTCATGTCGAATTGTAATCCCCAGTGTTGGAAGAGGGGCCTTGTGGGAGGTGATTGGTTCATGGGGCCGGATTTACCCCTTGCTTTTCT